ACTGTTTTTCTAGCTTTTATGTGGCTTTTATAGTCGTAACCGTTTTCTCCTTAGTGGAGGAATCATGATTAGAAAAGAAACGTAAGCTGAAGTTATATTGAAGCTAGAGTGAGGTGGATTCTAGCCAGTCTGTCTCTCACAAAGTAAATTACAATTCTTAACATTTAACACGCTCCTTCTGTAGCACTAACTTAGCAATGGTACAAACCTTTCTTAAAATCGTCCTCAACTTTTTCCTTGATGTCGGATTTGAACCTCGTTAGCTTAGAACTTGTCAGGAAGAAAGTAACACAGGAAGCGAAAAAACATAGGTTGCTCAAAGTCAATATGAAACCAACCACAACAGAAGCAACAGCGCCCGTTAAATCAAGAGATTTTTTCTTCAATCCGCGTCGCACGATAACCAAACATGACAAAACAGCGAATGCAGCTCTTACTAAGAAAGGGATATCCATAATTCTCGATAAATTTGAATAACGGACATTCTCACACGTCGAAATCTACCGAAGTGTTCTCGAACTCCGAACTCCGCCGCCAAAAGTACTCGCCTTAGTCTCCCACCGTTATTTTCAAAATGGCGGCGTTATTTTGACCGTTGTGCAGTGTGTAACAAAGATCAAAACTTTGACGTTTTGACACAAAAGGGATACTGTATAAACAAGCACAGTCTAGCAGCGGAAATGTATGGAGGACAACAAGGAGAAAGACGTGTTTTTTCAGAGACATTTTCTGATGATTCTCTTGGTGAATCGACTCGCTCGTTGCTTTCTCCAGTTTATGGTAATGGCGGTCAAATTGAAGAACCAGAATTATCTGAAGGTTCTTTGAGCGGTGACGAGGAGACAGACGACGAAAAAGAGTATAGCCTCGAATTCGAGAGATCTCACAGCACACCGAAGAACAAGACCAAAACATCCAGGAGTTACACGACTCCGATTTCATCATTTTCAGGACGAAAAAAATCAGTCAGTAAAAATACCAGATCTGTATCGAGATCAAATACAGATGGCCGCACAGCTAATAGCTCTAAAACAGTCGAAAACAAAACCGACTGCCTTTCACCATGGGAAACCTGGCTTGTGAAAAAGACAGCTGAAGATCGTGAGAAGATGAAACAGAAAAGACTTGAAAAAAAGAAAGCACGAGAGGAAACTGAAAAGGAGAAACGAGACAGAGAAGAACTTTTGAAAATTGCAAGCGAGAAGTACAATGAATGGTTAGAAAGCAAAAAGAAGTCAATTGCTGAGGAAAGGAGAATAAAACAACAGCAAGAAAAGTTGGAAATGGTAAAGAACGAGAATTTAAACCGCTCAACTCAAGAGAAAGCAGTAGTGAAATACAACAACTGGCTGGAAGAAAAGAAAACACAGGAAAATGAGAAAAAAAGAAAAGAGGAGGAAGAAGCAAGAATAAAGAAAGACAAAGAAGTGACAAGGAAACTGAATAATGAGGAAGCTTATGGCAAGTGGATTGCAGAAGTAAAGGAAAGACCTAGACCTGTTTATAACAGCTTTGGTTATACAGGAGGGATGTTGACAGGGTATTACGAGTGGGGGTCATATCCTGCACCAAGTTATTGTAATCCTATTCCTTGGATGCCACCAAAAATAAAAAGAAGCAGTGACAGAATAAAAGGCAAGGTGGAACTGCAGCCCCCATCTCCACCTCTCCTCTTCAGAGACATTGAAAACAGGAAAGCTAAGGGGAAGAAGAAATGACTGCTGGGAAATGTTAGCTGTTATTTAAATTCAAGAAAGTTTTTCTTTGCCTAGACCGCATAAAATTCATCATTTTCTGATAGGACATGCCTGATAGCTGAAGTTATTATTAAATAATTTGTAAGATTGTATTTGTCAAATTTGATATTTATTTACCAATCATATTTTTGTAATTAAACACCCATCCCCAGAAAGACAGCAGGTTGCCTATGTTGGTCCAGTGGAATAAATGAATGGTCTGCACAACAACTGCTTTAGTTGAGTTTTGGTGTGTTATTTCTACAGGTTTGCACACCACTTATGCCCACACTGCAAAATATTGGTCAATTTGAATTGGGCAGCTGAAGTTCGTTATTATTCAATGCATGTGGCATACATCACAAGCTCAAGAAGTGTAATTTCTTCAACATTTTATGAAGTAAATAGAAACCTTGCTCCACAAGCATTGTTAAAACACTTGGGAACCCTGAGAAATGCAAGAAGCAGTTGGATGTGCCTTCTGCTTGTCCATGGATTTCTCTTGTCTATTTTAGACTTTGGGCAGTCCCTCTTCAGCTTGGTCCTGACTCCATCGAGCCTGACACAAAATTGAGTGAGAGAAAAATTGTCTGAGCTGCTCACCCGCCATGTTTCTTGCCACCAATAATTTTCCTTGCCCTTTCTTCTCACATCACTCTCAACAGACTGTGTGAAGAGGGGTTGCTTGTAGTCTACATGTTCGTAAATTCCCTCAATAAAATTAGTTACATGAAACAGACAAACAGAAATAGAACAGAGTAACTATTTTAATTAACATGGTTTGGTATAATTTGGACATAAATGACTTTATTATTACATGAGGTCTTAAAAGAGATTCAACTAGTATCACTGAAGCTAAAATCCTGCAACACAGAGCTGTTTGTATCTAGCTACTGAACAGAAAGTGCACACTTATAGACTGAGATCAGTCTCTTAATTTTCTCCAGAACTGTAAGTTAGAATAAGTGTGAAAACAGTGCCATCACTCAAGCAGCATCTCCCTGAGCCTGCTCTACAGAGCAAAATGAGTCTCTTCTTTTTTCTTTCTCAAATCATTCAAGAACCTGAAAAAAAGTAGAGTGGTAAACTATAAAAATGCATGACATGATACAGGAAGCTAAACCTGTTAGTTGACACATGACTAGTGCAAGCATGCAAATACTTTTTGTCTGTAAGGAGGCCATTTTGAGACCAGGGACATGTTTTGACCAGACAAGAAGCTAGTCTCGTTAGACAAAAAAGTAAGAAGATGAACTCGATAATGAACTGGTAGAGAGGGTGACCTGAATCCCTTCAAATCAAAGTTGAGCTATGAATCAAAAGATGAGATTGCCACAAAAAGCACCACTAGGGAAACCCAAGGTTAAAATGCTATTAAAATTTCTACCTCAAAGTGACTTGAATTCCATCTCTGCCACACTCTTTTCTGCTGGTAAGACTTTCATTTTCAGAAGGACAGTCCAGGCATACTACCACCTCTGTACTCTGCACTGACTCCTAACAGTGAACAGAGCTAAGGCAAAAAAAAGAGTCAAATCTCTGCTTATGGACACCTCATGAGAAGACACTTTGACATACATGTAGATTCTGCCACATACAACACTACATACAAGAAATTTGACTCCATAATATTGTGTAAACTCTAGAGAATAAGAAGCCAACACAAAGACGGAAAAAAAGATGCGAGAAATCAATAAAATGCATTGTTGACTAGTACTGAGACAGTTTTATGTCAATACCTGTTTAAACTTGGCTCGTATATTCTCAAGATTAACAAACAACTCCTCATTCATGACATCATTAATAGGTAGAGCCAAGATCTTCTTCTTTAGAGTTTCTAACAATTTAGTGCACCTAAAACATGCAGCAAGAAACACCTGTGAGTGCCCGCAACAAGATAACCAAAGAATAACTTCTCAACACCTTCTCACCTGGCTCCTATGGTGGTATTTATTGCCATCTTGGCTATTTTATATAAATAAAAAGATTCAACATTATTTAAATAGCTTCCAGTACTGTCTATTACACCAGTCAAAAAAACATTTCCAGACAAAACAGCTTAGGGGGACCTCCTTCCAGTCAAAGCCCTATTTTGTTGTTGTTGTTGTTGTTTTTATTACAATTTAATGGCAATTAAATCTAAGACTAAAGGCATACACAAACAGACAAAGCCATAAGGATAATCTGTAAAAAAGTGGAACACTCCATGCGAGACAAATCACCATGTAGCTAATCTAAATAAATAATCATGTAATAACAATCAAGGAAAAAAAAAATTAAATCAAATATTCATTTCTCACTTAAAAACTTCTTCATTCCCGACTTAAACACTGCACAACTAGGAGATAACCTAACATCTAAGGGTATCGAATTCCACATCTCCATAATTCTATTAAAATAAGTGTTTTTAAAAGTAGTCGTTCTAGCAAAATTTGTCTTCAAGGAGTAGTCATCAGCCGTTTTTGTAAAACAAAACGGCAAATTATACAGGAAAAAAAATGTAGCATATAGAAAAATACAAATAATGACATTTTCTTATTTGAATTATATATTTATGTAGAAAATAATAATAATAATAATAATAAATAGTATTTTTATAGTGCCTATCCAAGCATGATCTAGGCGCTTTACAAGTTGTAAAATATGATCAAAATAGAATAACATACATGTATTATTATATTACAACAGAATAATATAATAATACATGTAACCATACTGGTTACTTTCATAATAATTTATCGAGTTAATTCAGAATTCAGAAGACGTCATTAATAGTCAACGTGATACCTTTGTTTTGCATCAGGACTTTCCAGCAAAATCTCATGCCACATTGAAACAAATCCAAGATAAAATCCAACCTGAGAGGAACAGTATACTGGTAAGCAAACTCCCAAGGAGCTTGCGATACGAACTTAGGCATACGTGAATTTTTCACTAGATACGATGAAAAAAAATGCAATGTAAAATGTAAATCTTATTTATAGTGGTCATGCATTTAGCTATACAAGCACTAAGCTTAGCTAGTTTACAGGCATGGCACTGGAAGAAACGAAACAAATTAATATTTCAAATAAACGAAACATGGTTAAAAAATAATTCCACTTTTCCTTTCTTCTTCTATGTCTATGAATTTACTCTTAATGAGCACCCACGTATTTCATTAGCCTTGTCCAAAACCCGAACTGAAAGCAAGTTCAGTAGCAACTAACCTCGCCACCAACTTCACAGCCTTTCATCAAACCCAAGTGACGTCCCTCTTGCAGACCCTTCAATTTTCCATCCTTGTAACCTTCCTTATAACCACTCTCATAACATCTGAAACAAAAAAAATACTGCTCATCTCTGTTTTAATTAAAAAGCATCGTAAAGGTGGAAGAGTACCTTTCCTCCAGGAAAACAGCAGCATCAAATGCATCATCAATCTCGTCTCTGTACGCCATGTTTGCTTTCTCCTTACCCAGACGGCATTGCGGGTGAGTTGCCATCTTAAAATCTGAAATCGGAATGGACTCTGGAAAACTGGAAAGAATGCGAGGACTCCTGCGCGGATCACGCCTGGCGGCAACTATGTTATTAAAGAACTTCATAGAAAAGGCGCAAAATTTATGAAGAACCTAAAGACTTCTAAGAAAAGGAAACAAACTTCAGCCATTTTTATAAATGAATATTTCACATTCGTAACTCCAACCCATCCAAAGGCGCTCACGACTAATTTCCAATGCGCCCTGACGAAGGGCTAACGCTCAAAACCTCACCGTCACTATCTCGCTACGGTGGTTCCTTCAACTTAATAAACAGCTTTGTGTCCAACCATCTAGCTAGTTTACTGATCTCACAAGATTTTAACCTGTGCTTCACTGGTATCTGATAGATTTACAAGTGAATAATGCAAAAGCGAACAAAAACTAATTAGCAAGATGTATAAACACAATTCAAAATTACTACATCACTTTGAAGCTGCTATAGGTGCATATAGAAGGTGCAGAAAAAAATATGAAACCATCCTTGGAGACCCAGGGGCAGTTAGGGAGGAAATAAATCGAGCAAAAATTGAAGCGTCGAAGGTTTCAAGTAAGGCGGGAAAGTTTTTCTCGCCTTACTTGTAAACTTTGGACGCTTCAATTTTTGCCCGATTTACTTTCTTCCCCCGCAACTAACTGCCCCTGGGTCTCCGAGGATGATATGAAACCATGTTACTCAAAAAGATATAATTTAGAAAAGTATATCTTGAAAACACTCAGGACCCATTTAGGTCAACCAAGAGACTGTTGCAAAGAAAATGAACTGCAAAATACTACCACCCCTTTTCCTGAATTTTCTCTCCTGATTCCTGATAGGCAAGTCTCTTGATCAATGACACAGCATCATTGCTTGCATAATAAAGTATGTATGTGACCATGTGCTGCACAAGCTAGTCGAGTATTGTCTTGATATCTTTAAGGTGGTCTGTAATGCTTGGTTCGAAAATAAAGACAATTTTTCATTCCCATGCAGCGTTTGTGATTGAATTCTTTGGAATCAGCAGGGTTATTTTTAATGAGGAACTGGGAGACAAAGAAGTTTTTGTAGTGGCAGACAAATGACGCCTTCGCGAAAGTCGCACGGCCTTTCAAAGATCTTTGCTTGAAAATTCTATCTTGGTGGTCGATGTTATTGTTCAGTCATCAAAGACAAGGAGATTTAAAAATTGCAAAACTAGATGAATTACGTGGCTTGAAAACCGCTTACAACTGTTATTTTAGCTGTATTGTTTGTTGGCAGCAAATAAGTTACCCTCTTGCAAGCATGCTTTGTACATTTACTTTTCAATTTTACGAAATCCAAGATATGTTTAATATTACCTATGCAACCAGCTGAATTAAGCCAGAACCAGACGATGACTTTTTTAATTATGTCTTTTCATTTTCAATAAAATCCTGTGTTGTATTCTCGTTAATTATTTACTCTTAACTCGAAGGTACATAGAATTATTAAATGAGCTCTCTTACAAACTGTCTAAGATGCTATAATTATTTTATAAAACATGAATTTAAAACGTAGATTCAAAGAAGGTTCAGGATCTTTTAAATTATCAAAACAAATCAGAACATCATCATGTTCAAAATATTATCGTTTCAGCAATGCTCAACTATGAAACGGTTGGTAAATGTTTCTTAGAGAATCCGTTGGCGAGTGAAAATTTGACTTGCAAGGCAGTGATCTCCACAGCCATGAAAATTATTTCCTTTGAACGTTACTGAAGAAGATATGGCCGGGAGACATGGTATGAATATTTAATACGTGCTGGTTCTTCGAAGAATTATTCAAATTTCAAACGTAAGCAGAATTGTTCACCAAGAATATTCCCACCCGGAAAGGCAAGTCTGAGATTTCTCCGTTTTTGAGTTTATCAAGCAACAGGCTGGCATGGCAACGTTCGGATGATCATCCTATTTGTGACTGGACAGAAGGACTCGGACATTGGTCGGCTTGTTGTCGACATTTTCCGAAAATAGCGCTCGCTTATCGCAAAACGGAAAACAAGTCGCAATAACAGTACGCACCGTCTTGAGGAATCAACAGGTGAAAAGCAAAATAAAACGCATTGGCCGTTGTTGGGATATCTAATGAAGGAAATAATAATATAAAAAACTCCTGGTCGAATGTTAAATTGTACCCTATTCAAACGGAAGTGGGGATAATGCAGCTTTTACGATAGAAATAAATTATAGGTCTCTAGAACAGAACAGCCGGTTTATTAGTAATAAATAAAAAATCGTCCTCCACGTGAAAAATTTCCTCTTTTTTTTCCAGAGAAGTGACCAAAGATCCAAGGGATGATGTATCCAATGACAACGCGATATCAATATTTAATATGTAATCTATTCCCTAATTTATGCAAATAAGACGGCTTGTGTCGTTCGAAGTTTCTGATTGGCTCGCGACCAAAATAAGTACAAAGCTGTGGCGTTCAGCTGTTCGCCTGTCGCTTTTCTTTGTGCGTGAATATCCGGTGAATGGAGGAGATAAAAACTCCAGGAAAAGACGAGCCATAGCGGCTGAAACAGTCATTATAGTGATTTTAAAACAACTTACAATCTAGAGCAGAGGATGTGGTGTTTTATTTCGGAGCCAAACGGCATAATTCATGAAATTTTCCTCCCGAAGAATGCCGTCGGGCAAGAGTGTTTGGACAAGGTGAGGAATTACAAGTTGGCGATTCTCAACATGCAATGAATATTCCCAAGACACCTGTATGCCGATGAATTTTAAGTCAACTTGGTTCACTTTCGAATTACTTGCTTTCGTAGCATTGTTTGGTACTTATTTTATGGTTCTTCAACCCTTGCAGGTTTGCGAAAAGCTAAAGCTAGTCGAGAAAGATTATTTTGGCTTGAAATTCGGTGGCGCGAAACGAGCCAAATTTTGGTTGAATTTGAGAAATTCTATGTCGTCGCAGCTCACTGGAAAGCCGCCGTATCGACTGTATTTCTTGGTCAAATTCTTCGTCAAGCCACAAGAACTTCAGCAAGAAATTACACGGTAAGTGAAACAGGTGAAATTTTGATGTATGTTTTGCGTTTTGTCAATCGTACCTGCCGAGTGAGCCGCTCGGAAATATCCACAGTTCACGCGGATAGTGTTTGTCATAGTCTTTCTTTTATTTAACAGACGTTTCAGTTTCATGTGTACATCTCTCTGT